AGGCACATTCATGCCATTGATATTTGCCATGACAATGACTCCAGTGAATCCTGTGGTATTGGTCACCAATGTGCACACTGAAGTGCAGAAATGAGGTCTATTCATCTCTCATCCATACATGCATGATGCATAGATTCATGCTGTGGAAAAAGGGAAAATTAGCCAGGAGGTCCATGACTCCATGCTTTCCTAAAATCTAGGTCTTATATGGACAGATAAGGATGACAACATGATGCAATATCTATATGACATTCATTATTTCCTCATCAGAAATTCCATGCCCAGATTTTTCATACCATTGTAGCAATTGTTGCCATTCTTGAGAGAACTTGTTACTAGACATACAACATTGCAGTACTATCAAGGCAGTTGCAGCCTGCATCGCATGTGCTGTTATCAAAGTCTTTCACATGGGACTGAAGACTATTGCAGATATATTGTCTCCTACCTAGCTAGAGAAGGGATAGCTTTTAATACTTTGAAAACTGTCTATGCTAGCAAATATCTAGCCCCTCCCACATTAATTGTAAACCCTCATGTACTTTGCTACTTTCTGGCTGGACAATTGTTTGGCACTAGCCACTAGCAAGTGTATCAGACAGCCAAAAATGTGCTTTTGTCAGAACCAGCATGGATGTGCCACTAAGGATAGCTTGAGATGTTGTAGATATTAAACAGATCAAGAAGGGTATGTTGTCAAGCAGCAGAAAGGTTGGGGAGTTTGGTGATTATGTTCTTGTCAACAATAACCTGACAAAGGCCCAAAGCAACATAATCTGCAGTGTCTAAGTGGTGTATACAGGTCAGTCTATTTTGATTTCTTACAAAGGAATTTCTGTTGACCTTGACAAACAGGGTGGGGAAGGCAAACATTAGATAAGTCATAGTTCCCCAAGAATTTGATCTGGATCACAACAGGTTCCCATTGCAATTATTGGAGTGCAGATAATGAGAGGTGATACCAACTGTGCCTCATAGAAATTTGTGAAGGTCTAACCTGACCAAAGACATGAACTGAAAGGAGGCATGAACTTACCCAAGTACAATAAAGTGTTATGACTAAAATTTGCCAACTTTTTGAGGATGTTTTTGATGACATACTGTAGGGCAAAACAACTTATTGGGATTCTAATGTAACATGAAATTTTATTTATTATACATATATTAGCAATTCATTTAACCAATGACCAAAAGTAACATAGTGATGTTATCCAAAAAGGAACATAGTGTATGTTGTGGACCAACAGAGCAATGTAATACAAAAAGTAACATAGCATACATCATGGATGGACAGATAGCACCCCAAAAGCATGATTTTAGCATTACCAATGTCAATGCATAAGGCTAGACTTTGCATGGTGCATGTGGAGTAAGTATTGGTCATGGACCAACAATAGTGTTGGAACAAGCATGAGCATGGTGGTACTTTGTATGACTGTACTGTGCAAGTTGTGTAGTATCCATCATAGATAGTCAGAATGTGCTGCAACAAGCCAACTATTGTACTACAGATGTCAAGAGGTGAACTGTGCAAGTTGTACAACAAGTATTTATTATGAACAGATAGATGGTGCTGCAACAAGTGGGACCATCATGCTACAGATGCTGAGGGATGGATTGTGTAAGTTGTACAAGTATCCATTGCTCTGGTGATTGACCATGGGGACAAGCTGAACACATCAAAGAAGGATGAAAAGCCTTAAAAGCCTTGAAGCAAATAATGAATTAGTCAGTAGACTATCATGTATGCTCAAAGGGAACTGAAATCTTCCTCTATTCTTGTTCAATACATGTTTTTCTTTTTTGTGCAACTCATCCTGTCATACTTCTCAGATAATCACAATCACAGAAGCCTAAATTATAACCAAGTCTGATTTTTTCCAACTTGCACATTCTCTATTTTCCCCTCTTACAGTACAACATATCAGTCCCAAACATAGGATTTGTGACATGCAATTCTAGTAGATTAGTCACCTACATCTAGCACAGGTGTGTGAGAAGGCTTGCACATGTGGTTCTGGTACCACTCTACAATGGCTCAGGTTGTAGATTGCATGCAGTGCACTGACCTTCTCTTGTTAATCTCTTGAAGTACTTGAATCACATTTGGTGTCATATTTGAAGCTGTTGTTGCTGTTGCATGGATTTTGGCTAGTCCAACTCTTGTTCTCTATATTTTGTGTCTTTCTTGACATAATAGACACCCTGTAAGTGTAAGGGAACCAGTCCTTGGACCATCCCACTCTTGCCTAGCTTAGTCTGTGAAGATTGGCACCTCTATCTAGCTGACCTCCAGACTGCCTGGCCCTTCTTACTCCCTCACCATCTTGGCTCCCAGGCCTAATAGGTATATTGTACCTGGCACATGGTATATTATTGTTGATCATTGATCCTTCTACTACTGGGCCCAATTAGTCAATAGTTCATAGTCATCAGCCTCTACTTTGTCATTAGGTTGTAGTCAGCAGCCTCTGACTTAGTCATAGGTACTTAGTCATCTAGTAGCCTTGTAGTATATAGGTGGACCTGGGTATAAGATATCCACAGTCTGGACAATAGCATTGCTTCCAAGTTTATTCACTAGCATAATTGTAAGCTCAGCCAGTGTGGCCCCTTGCCTTGCCTTGCCCTCCTCCTCTGCCTCTTTTTGGTTGCCCTCTGCTTGCCTGCTGCACCTTGTGCTGGCTTGCTTGCTGCTCACATGTTGACTGGATGGTCAGGATATGAGTGGTGGGCTTGGCTTGGATCATCCACAGCCAACATTCCCTTACAGTAAGCTTCTAGTTATTGCATCAGACTCATGCTCAGCTTCTCTGAAGTATTTCATCTTATAGATCCTCTGTGAACACCTGTGAACACTCCATATACTGTTATCCAACACTACTCTCATCCAATGTGTAAGTCTTTCCTTTCCTGTCCTCATCAAATCTTTTATGCTGACCATTCCCCAGCACAATCTATGGACAGATATGCAATTCAAAATGCTATCCCTATCCTTTTCCATCCTTATAAGAAACTCATTTGAGTCTATTGCAAGGCTGCTCCTTTGTACATCTTCTAGGATCAGTATAAATGTGGGCTCTGGATTTTCCAAAATGCAAGGAGTTTCCCATCAAAATTACACCATATTCTCAAGACAAGGTCATATATTTATCTAAGTATGCTCACTAGCCCCACAAGACATACTGGCTCTAGCATCACAGGATCTATTTCAGGTTCTGTCCCTCCTTCTCCCAGTACACTGGCCCTTTCAAATGTCTCTGGCTATTGCCACAAGCTCTACCCATTTGTCACAGGTATTACAAGGCTCCATACTTTGCTGATACAGAACTTGTGGCCAAATGGTTCCAACTCAAAGCTAAGCTCATCAAACTTGGAAAAGGTCTTATTGTGCAACATATCACATTCACTAAGTTTGAGGATGGCCTTGCTGTTGACCTCCTATCCTATACACAGCTCCACAATCCTTGTTTAAAAAGTGAATAGGACACCAGAGCACTTTATGCTGCACAAATCTGTTTCCTTGAGCTTACCACATACATCTCCTTTGCCATTGTATACAACAAATACACGCACCCTTGAAGCAATGATCTCTCTCCCAACTGGCTCCAATAGGCAGAGGGTCAGCTTAGTATGGACTCAGTCTGGCTGAATGAGGTCCAATTGTTCATTAGTGTTTAGTGTTAGTATTAGAGTTATCTAAAGAGAGAGAAAAGGACTTAGGGTGGACCAAGGTTAGAAATTTTGAGCTAGGGTGCAGAGTGAGGGGACTGGGGTGCAGGGTGAGGGGACTAGGGTGCAGGGTGCAGGGTGCAGGGTGAGATGACTAGGGTGCAGGTTGGGACTGGGGTGTAGAGTGAGGGGCCTGGGGTGCAGGGTGAGGGGACTAGAGTGCAGGGTGCAGGGTGAGGGGACTAGGGTGCATGGTGAGGGGACTAGGGTGCATGGTGAGGGGACTAGGGTGCAGGGTGCAGAGTGAGAGGACTGGGATACAGGGTGTAGAGAGAGGACTGGAATACAGGGTGTAGGGTGAGGGGACTCAGGGTGCAGGGGTGAACAGACTCAGGGTGTAAGGTGAGAGGACTGGGATACAGAGTGCATGGTGAATAGACTCAGGGTGCAGGGTGAGAGGACTCAGGGTGAAAGGTGAGGGGACTCAGGATGCAGGAAGTGTACAAGGGAGGATCCAAGTTCAGTAACTTGGAAGACTGGACCATTGACATTGGCTACCATTTAGCAGTGTGTTTATATGTAAAAGATCATATGGATTGTGAAAGGATCTTCATGATTCAAGAATTTCTTGATGGACCAGTGAAGCACTGGTTCAGACATCATGTCCTGCACTACAATCATGCACAACAACGACAATGGATGTTTGAGGATGTCATCATTGAGCTGTATTATTGGTTGTGAGCCCATCAACAATGCAGGAAGCTTTAGAGGCATTCTATGCCCAGCTCCAGAGCATTACAGAAGAGTGACAATGGCAACAATGAGGTCTTAGGTAGACCTATGGAACATATTGGCACAGGTGGAATGAAGGAGGACTTGCATAAAGCAAGCAGGAGTGGGGCAAGCTGCAGCAAGCCAATGGGTCAAAATCCAGGGTTATGTCTGAAAGGGGATGATGATGTGGAGTTGGCATGGGAGTAATGCACTGATTCAGGTCTGAGTAAGGATGGGGTCTAGAGAATAGCAGCCTGAAGTTACAAAGGTCATGGGAGTTGATGAGAGAAAAAAGCAGGATTGTGACAAGAAACATCATAGACCAGTTCTGAGTGACATGTTGTACAATGTGAGCTGTAGGACCATGACAACACTTACATTTTTAAGTCAATTAACATTGACTTTTTGCTATTGCAAACTGCTTTGAACTTCCACAGAAATGTTCAATGCCACAAGATCCTATTTTGACATGGCACTTTCTCAATGGTCACAAGAGCAACCATGCAAGAACAGGTGCTTAAAATAGATGATAACTTAGAGCACCACACTCTCAAGAGTACATGGTATAGTTGGTTATCACTCTTGCTTTGCATTATTCCTGCTAGTGGTCTTCAGTTTAATTCCGGGTGTGTCCAATGGTGTCACTTCCACATTTTTCGGATAATGAAAGTGGAAAACTTTTGTTCAAAATGACTTTCACATCAGAAGCCTGAGCTTCGCACCCCATCGTTGATCTGAATTGGAAACTTTATGCTACCATACCCCCCTTCATGGAACTGGAAGAAAACATACAGTGTACTACTTGAAGTGGATACTTGTATTATTGTGGCAAAGACAACATAACGAAATAAGATAAACGTGAGATCGGAGGCAGACGGTCCACAAGAACTGTATCTAGTACATATGGTGGGAGCATGGCTACTTGTTGTTTACCAATTGCGCAGATTGCATGCCTCTACCGTCCAGAACCATTCCGGGTTTGTTTGTATGAGTAAAGTGGTCTGAAGGCACTTCAATTCGAGGTTCATGCTTTGGGGTAGGGGTTGCCGTATGCATATGAGAGCGCAAGCTTGAGGGTGCAGCTACCGTGACGAGCTGAGAGGCATATGTTCTCAGGCAAGAGAGGTAATTTGTGCGATAGAGCCATAAGGCTACTGCAACAAAGGCTGCAGACAGTGGCACGGATAATGATTTGAAGCGCGAATTGGTGTACATCTTCCTACGGCTATTATGAAAACTGCTGCATCGTGATCAAGAGGGATAAACATACATCGTCTTGTGTGAACTAGTTGAGAACTGGGCTTCGAAGTAATCGGATTGAGAAATGGATGTACTTTTGGCTTCGAAAGATGGATCAGATGCCCACTTTTTAAAGTGTTCAGGGTTCATTGTAGTTAGTAAGCCGAGACAATTACTGAAGAATAGAGAACTCTCATAATTGAAGATTGAAGAAGCGGTCAACGGATAAGAGTGTGGGCTGCCTCATAATCAATCGAAACAAAAGAAACAAAAGAAAGGGTCACGGAAATACTTAAGTATAGTACTCCAAAGTGTTAATTGTCTTGCAAAAACAATGATGTTAATCATAGCTTGATGCGACTCACAAAGGATGATATAGATTGAAATTTGATACGTCGGATTACTAATTGTTCCTTCTATCGCCTGTCCAACTAAAGCAGGATAAACACTTTGTTTCCATCTTTGGTAGAGTAATGGAGACACCTTTTCTTGACAGCTGCTAACATTCAGAAGTTCCGCGCTGAGCAGGATAACTCCCTGCCTGATTCGTCAGAAACAGAAATATCTGGTGGGTACCTTATTCTTTTGCCAATAAGGCTTGAATTAGGACAAAGCGAGACTAATCAACATGAAATGAGACGTAAACCCACAGCTTTAGTATGATCATTCATACAGACGTCCTTGTAAGACCAGCGATCACAAGCCTCCGGATATGATAGATAAAGAATGAGCATTGTGTCGTTAACCACCAACTCGTCTTGACTAAATTATTTGAGTAGAAGCTGGGACGAAACTGGCTAATGCGCACACAAGTATTCACCGTACATGATTACTGAATCAGAATATGGTCGAATCAAGGTGAAGATAACTTCAATCATTCGCAGCTATCCAGGTTTAATGATAGGTAAGAAAAGCGAAAAAAAAAAAAAACAGAAAAACATACTGTACGGTCGCGAGGAGAGATCTAAGGCTGGAAATATTCGTGAACATTCATGTAGATCAATACAAGCATTTTTGGAAAACCGTTGTCAGGGTCGGTAAACCAAGGCACCTATTTCGGGAAGTAAGCATTTCGTTGCAAGGTAAATCGGAGAATTGTTCATTGAACGTATAATGCGGCTTATGAGTAATACATCCCCATTGCGCGACAGAAAGCCTACAATTCGAATTTGTATACTATGACTATTGACCCGAAGGTATTTGGACGCCCTCCTTACTCAGATAGTCTTTGAGTGGGAGCGTCGATTGTGGAACACGTACAGGAAAAAGTAAAAGTTATGGTGGATTCCGCGGCGAGGAAAAAAATTCGATGATTCAAACCCTTGGGGGAGGCCGTTGTAGAACCGAAGTCACAAATCGTCCTACTGATTGATTCACAGTAGCATAAGAAAGTCCTGGCGTGATAGACTGTCATAACACACTAGGAAAAGATCTAAAGACCAGGCAACATAGGATCATCATCAACTTTAATTTCTACTTCCTTGATGACATACTCCCAGCTAGGTCTGAAAGTTGATGCATCGATGCGTTGCATCTCGATTCCGATGTCTGACACAGGTCAAGTCAAATGGCGGCACATCGGCGTTGTTAACGATGCCAGTCTGGGGTGCGTACGTGGATCTGATAGATACGATATTGAACAGCGATATTTGCCGTGGTCCTTGCTTCTTGGAAGATTGGGAAGTATCATCGTCGTACTAAGCACCAAGGAAACAATGAAAGAGGCATAGTTCCTTCCGGTAGCAAGCAATTCATGCGTGCCTTGAAATACCTGATATGACAGACGTCGAGTTTCCCGTACTCTTTAAAATGGGAAGGAGTACGTAAGTACTGAGTGTGCCTTTTTGGGACCGAGGCTTACCCGAGGCTCGGAGATTGTCGAAATTTTCTCATGTGATACCGACCTCATCAAATGAGCGTTCAAACGGTTCACGTTCAAACGGTTCATAAGCTACATACTCCCGAGACCAATACTTTGCTTGATATCGATACCCTGACGTGTGCACCTGGATGTGGAGCATCCAACACATTATCTTTTGAAAGACAAATTATGCGTTCAAATGACCAATGACCAAGAGTATTCACTCTCTTTGCTTGTTTCGTCTTCCCTAGGCTGACGATTGAAGATCCCACGGGACCTATGTTTTTCGTCATCTGACCGCGACAAGTGCACTTCACCGACGGACATACACCCGTATGGCTTGGCACTTTGTGATTCAAGAGCAGGTGTGAGACCTCATGTGTTCGTCTGACTTTGAATGGGTCTCATTCCAGGCTCCCACTTGGACAATCCTTTCATTTATCCTTATCATACACTCGGCAGGTCCTTTGTATGACTACGCTTTGTCATCATCTGCTCTATATCATGAGCCAACTCGAAAGGTTATCGATATTCCTCCGTTTCGAGGACAACGTATGTTCCGGACTAATGCTCGGGCACCCTAGAAGCTGCTTTCCTTTCTTTCCTCTGCCCCGGTTGCTTGTACAACGCTCACGGAGTAATTGACTTTGTCATAGTCATAGTCATCTGCTATACCATGTGTGCTGTTGATAGACGATCTTCATGACCACCAGTCACTTCATCCAAACAATCACTGCTTGTTTTTGACAAGTACCCATCCACCTTTAGCCTCTTTTTCCGGTTTGGTTCAAACGGGCATCTTGTCATTGACTCAGACGCGCCACTTTGGAGGAATATTCATTTCCTCGATTGCTTAGTTTTCCTATCCTATAAAGTACGGCTGTATGCAGGCTATTCTGCAATGATTTGGCCTGCTTTTTGTGGATTGCTATCCTTTGGTGGTGCTGTGGGGCTCGTCTTTGAGCCCGTTGGTACAGACAGGCCTGCACCTGCTGGAGGATCTATAGCCAACGACCAGCCTCCCAACTCCTTCTTTCAAGGCTTTTCTCCTCCGTTCCCCACGAATGATTGGTGGGTTGGTTTCGGTGCCGGAGATGGCAACGCGTGAGTTGCACTTTCACTTGTCATGAAGAGAAGAACGGATCTCTATCTCTATCATTGAAGTATCGTGGGCGGCCCCTTCCCTTATCAGAGTAGTTTGGGTGCTACTGGAATCCAGTTTGGTGTATCAACCTCTCGGAGTTTCGACGGGACCTCCATCCATCAGCCGACACAGACCGACTGGTCTGTTGGTTTTGTTGAACACAATGGCAACGTCCGAAATCGTAAGGCTTCGTCTTGGGTGAGGTCCGTGTCCAATTGTATATACGCCTGCACTAATCAAATCTATAAGGATTCTCAATCTGTCACGGTGCAGTATTTCACGGGGTCAAGTACGATGACAAGCTACCTCGTACCAGGATCTCCATACCTCACTTTCTCCTACTCGGGAGCAACACCGAAGCTCACCAGTGCCCTCGGTCCCATCACATCTTTTGCCGGGAAAGCGCTTGGCAGTGGCGCCAGCAGCAAGTAAATTCTCAGACAAGCACCGAGTGGAATCTGACGAGTCTACAGCCACTGTCACCGGTACTTCGTTCCAAGTTGTCAACGGTGCTGGCACTTATATCATATATTCCTTATCCGGCGCGGTCAGTCTCACTGCTAGTAACACGGGCACGATCGTTGCTGGTGCACAGTTCAAGGGTGTGCTGCGAGTAGTGAAGTTGAACTCCCCTTCCCACAAGGCCATTCTCGATCAGTACGTTGCAAATTACCCTACAGGCGTCTCTACAGACTATGACTTCAACGGGGACGTTGGCACACTTCGCTTCACGTGGACAGTAACTGGAAATGCGGCGAACCTTCTCATGCTGACATGGCCTCATCATCGGTGTGTCCCGTCACACAAAGTTCCCGTTCAGCTTCTGATGAACACTGTATCATAGCATTAAAATGCAGAAACCTAATTTCCCACCGATGTCCTCCCTTTCGTATCTCACGACCAAAGGGTATATGTACCCTGCCTTGGGGAACGTATGGAACCTGGTATATAACCTCCCGACGATCATTTGGAATGCTCCTCGTACTCCGGATGCGTCTTGTACTCAGAACCTGGTATCTGGCCTTGAATATGAGATCGCCAACCTCCCTGCTGTCACGATGCCAGGGGATTTCTACTTCTTCGGTGGACGCCTCGCGGCTGTCTCACGTTTGGCGTAAGTGCCTCCTATCTTCCCCTATCCTTCTCGTGCTGATTTTTCATCAGCTTGATCGCAGAACATGTAGACCGAAATGATCTTGTACAGCCTGTCATCAATTGGTTGAAGGACTCGATTGGTTACATGGTTCGTCTCCAAAGTCTTGTGAATTACCATTCCCCTGCTGATCTAGTTCACGAATAGTTCAACTCAGCCTCCACCGCGGTTCCGGCATACGAGACTGGGTGGGGTGGTATCATTAATCGTGCAGGTTACAACAACGCGTGGATCGATT